GTTCATACAGTGAGGCTTGTGATGCTACAGAAAATAAATAGGGAAGATAATTTTGCACTTAAAGAGGGACCTGCTCATGGTCGTGCTCCTGCCAGAAGTGACTGACATGGTTCACATACACACCTGAGCTCCCCCACAGCACTTCTGCTGACTCCATGGGCTTGGTAAATGTACTGTCACTCAGCAACAATAAAAAGCTTCACTCACCAAAGGACTGGTGATGGCATCAGACTGGGCATCCCCTCCTTTCTTGTTTCTATTTCCAGTGTGAGCGTTGCTGACAGCCTGTGGGGTGAGGGTGTGCCCAGGTCTGTGCATTGCGTGAGATTTCTTTGTCAGAGCTTAGTTCTGAAAGCAGAATGTTGAGGTTCGTGTGAGGGCAGCTGTGCATAAATCAGGTATTTGCTAATTACAGCTTTACAAGGCAACATGCTGGTATGCTGGGCACTTTTCCTCACCTGATGGTACCTGATGCTGTTTCTTGGAGATTTGCAGATCCATGTGCTGAAAGCATTGCTGTGTCCTGCTCAGTGAAGAGCTTTGGGAGCTGCATTTCAAAGAATTTAGGACATAAAGTAGCTGGCAGGCACGGGCTGGCAGTGGTAATGCTCAGCTGTTGGGTTTGTTCTGTTTTTCTGGAAGATGAGGCTGCTGGTACAGACCTCGCTGTAGATGTGGGCACGATTAATTGGTGCATTTCTCTTCTGCTGGAGATGCATGAGTAGCCCAACCCCTGGTCAGGGCAGAGCTGAGTTAATGAGCATTTTTTAATGAACAGTGACTTGAGACTTTTGATGGGGGATGAAGGCAGGCTGTAATAATAGTGCTGTTGCTTTTATAAAAGGTACAGAATTCCACAGGATTGCCTTTCTTCAGACTTACAGTGTTTGTATTAATAATTTTTAAGTGTAGTTTTCTAGATCAGGCTTTTTATTAGTGCTTAAAAACCCATATTAGCTCAATTACCTTTTTTTTCCATATTCACTCTCTAATAAGGGGCTTGTTCTTAGAAGTGGTCCATGCAGTAGGAGTTTGGTAGATTAGCATGCACATATTTTTTCTTTAGAAACTGATGACTAAAAGACTTCCAATTTCAGTATTTTTTGTTGAATTCCAGCCTGAGTTCAGGCTAATCCTGGAATTCCTTTTCAACACAGGGATTTCTCACTGGGCCAGTATTGATATTCTCTCCTTCCTCCCAGTGATTCTAGTATAAACCTGACTGGTCAGTTGGGATATTTGAGGTAAGATTGTTCAGGTTGTGTCTGCTGTTGGACATAGCAGCAGTGCCAAACCTTAAGGGGAGAAAAAAAGGTAATTTTTCTGTGACAATGGTGCAAAATCAAGTGCAAGGTGGACACAGCTGGTTCTGGCTTGTCACAGTGCAGGAGCTCTCATTAGGGTAGCAATCCTGAAGGCCTGTTTGTATTTTGTTTAATGATAATGAAAATTTAACTATAGGCAGCTTTTAGAAGCAGTGGGTTTTAAAGTCTTAATGTGAAATGCACTTAAAAGATGTTCCATTAGTGCTGAGGTGAGGCAGGGAAATCTGTCTCATTCCATGACAAAAATAGCTCCAGTGGTGAGACCAGGAGTGTGACCAGAGGAATCGGTTGCCACGGGATTAGCAGGAGTTGTGAACTTGCAGCTCACCAGTTTATTGGGGTAATTGCTCATATGCACAGCTTTGCCTTATAATATACATGATATAATTACTTTTCAATAAAAGTATTCTGCCTTGCATTCACCATTAGGGAGCTTCCTGGAGCTCATCCCATTGTTTTCCTAATGAAGCTTCTTCCTCTGCTGTTGCCTCATCATTTTATTATGGCCTGATCTGGAATTCTTGCTCTTGCACACAAACGATGATATTCCAATACCAGCATTTTCTTTCAGAGTATTCTAGCATATTTTCCATTCACTTAGTTACCAGAACTAATTGTTCTTTATTGGTTTGTAGGGTATTGTATGGGATATTCAGATTCTTGCTCACTGTGTAATGCCTTTCTTCTAATATTTTACTGTCTTAATTACTACAGTCATGGAATCTTGCCTATGGAGCTACTAGCAAAGCACTTTGGGGCACTCAGATATACATCACCTGCAGGCCTGAGTAACATGGCTGAGTTAGCCTGGAGTAAAGGGAGCATCATCTTACCTGTACATACACCAGGTGCTGTTTGGAATGTGGTTGGGTTCAGAGATTGGATTTAAGAGGTGACTTGCCTTTGGTAGGATGCCAGACTTGATGCTAGGGTGTCATTTAAGTTTAACTGAGGGGTTATTTTCTCTCAGAGGAAGGAGTTTTTCCAGGTTTAGGAGTAGAGGTGTGTCTGACTGACTGATGGCTGCAGCCTGTTCAAATATCCATGTTTTAGCTGCTTCCTGAAACTTCTGTGCAACAGAAAATCAGATGATTGGATAAAAAAATACTCAGTGTGTCTGTTCAGTGTTTATATTTTATTTTCAGGTTTGCTATAGAAATGTAAACCAGGTTGGGTAATTTTGATGGCAAAGGTGTTTTAAAGTATCTCCTTGATTTTTAATCTGAAAATAGAATGTGACAGTGTCTGCAAGCATAACATAAACCATAACACAGACAGGTATGGGGTCCTTTGTCCTTTGGTTCTTCTCTGGTTCATGGAGGGTTGCCAGGGTCATATCTTGGGGAAGAAACAGACCTTAATGAGCATGGGCAGTGCTAAAAATAAAGGTTGGGAGTTCACGAAGGCCTTGGCTTTTGAGGCAAGGTAGTAGTGGTAAATGCCATTTGCAGGCTCTCCTCCCGTTAGGAGCACAGCAGCCTGCTCAAAAGGGCAGATATAAACCACCTGCCTGCAGAGACAGGTACAGGGATGTGCACAGAGAGATGTTTGGGTTCATATTTCCTTTGATTTAGAGAAAGGGATGATAAGTGCCAGTGTCTGGACAGCACAGGGAGTACAGGTATAACCATGCCGTGGTACGAGCTGTGCTGGAGATGGGAGACAAAACTGCTCATAAAGCATTTCACAAAAAATATTTTTAATATTTCCATAATTAACCTTTCTTTTGGTATCCATTCAGTTTTCCATATTTTGACCTTTCTTTTCTGAAAGTGAGAGCTCTTAGAGCAGAGCTGCTCTCCCTCACCCGTGACAACAGGAAGCTGCAGGATGCAAAGAGAGAAGTGGCTGGTACTCATCTTTTGGAGGCAATTTGCTTGAAGGAATCAGAGGTAGATTTTCAAGAGGAAGGGCTGTTTGCCTGGGAGCAGAAAGCTCTTTGCTGGAGCATTATATTTCCTTGGGTCAGAGGGCTAGATATGGGGTGGCTGCCACATCCCCTCTTCTCTCAGCACAGCAAATAGCTCAGGGATGCTGAAAATTTTAGGAAAAACGAGGGACATATTTTTCCAGTGAAATGTTTGCAAGGTAAGAGGGAGGGAAAATCAAGCAAAAGGTAAATTGGATTGTCAAAGCTGCAAGCCATTATTTGAAGATTATAAAATCAGCAGGAGTCCCATAGGAATTAGGCAGCAGAGCTGTGGTGGGAAACAGCCCAACTCTCTGCTTGGAATGTGATTATGGCAAGAGGCACACATCTCCCTAGATTTCTGAAGTTCTTTGCAGAAGCAGTTGGAGCTTGTGAGCCAGGTAGGTATCTGGTAAATCAGAGGAAGTGAAACCACACCTCTGGCTCCAGAAGGCTTTTGTCTCTCTCGGGGGAGTAGCATGTTTTTAATCCTGTGAGATAATCACATCATTTTGCCATGTGATGTGGGGATGTTGTCCTTAGCAAGGTGCCACCTTGAAAAGTCAGCTGAAGAAATAATTGCAGGCCATAAAATAATCAGCCTCCTTCCATTTGCTGAGTTTGGGCTGACAAGAGCTTCCTAATGCACAGAAAGACACTCGGTGCTTTCAGATGTCAGCACCTAGGAAAGGAGTGGGGTGTAAATGGAGGCTTGAGCTGAAGCTTTGATGTGTATGGGCTTTTCAAGGCAAGGGTTTGGTAGTGGGGGGATGCAGGAGCTGCTTAGAAACTTCCCCCATGCCTGATGGAGCCAACGCCAGCTGGCTCCAGGTTGGACACACCACTGGAACAACAGATTAAAGAAGGAGGGAAAACCTGCACAGCTGCAGCTGGAGAGAGGAGTGAGAATACGTGAGAGGAACAGCTCTGCACAGACCCCCAGGGCACTGCAGAAGGAGGGGGAGAAGGTGCTCCAGGCACTGGAGCAGAGATTCCCATGCAGACCATGGTGAGGCAGCTGTGTCCATCTCCCTGTGCTGTGGAGGTGGAGAAAGTCAGGAGTGAAGCTGAGCCCGGGAAGAGGTTTTTATTTCTCATTACCCTACTCTGATAGTATTGGTAATAAATTAACCTAATTTCCCCAAGTCTGTTCTGCCCATTGACAGTAGTTGGTGAGTGGTATCTCCCCTTCCTTATTCTGACCCTGTGTTTCTTCTTCAATGCCCAGCTGAGGAAGGGAGTGACAGAGCAGCTTTGAGGGCACCTGGTGCCCAGCCAGGGTCAGCCTGCCACAGTATGGTTTCCACCTCAGGATTCACAGGGGCTTCATGTTTAATTCATATCTTTCTGATTTTGAATTCCATGGTAAAAATACTGTGAATGGTTTGAAGAGTGAGGGGGAGGCAGCTTAAGTTAAGAGAATAAAAACCAGCCCACCACTGCAAGCTGTGAGGAATATTTCAGCTGGGGACAATCTGATGTTTATAACACGTTACCTGTTTTTGTCCAACTGCAAACACACTCTGATGAGAGCATGGTTTTGTTTTGCTCCCCTGGGCAGGTCTTGCCTTAAGGTGAACTAGGGCTTGTGTTGGTCACCAGGTAATAAAGGGAATGAGGCATCTGCTACATGACCCACTGGTCTGGCAGGGTGAAGTTTCCTTGCCTCTTGAACCCTTGGAGATTTTCTACCCTTGTTGTGTGACTGTCTTGCCCTGGGGTTGATCCCTTGCTTACCAGAACTGACCAATTTCCTTTCTCCGCAGGGGACACTACACAGAAAATGAGATCTGCACAGTATCCTACCCCAGCAGAATTGGATGCTTATGCTAAGAAGGTCGCCAACAATCCACTGACTATAAAAATCTTTCCGAACAGCGTCAAGGTTCCCCAGAGGAAACACATACGCCGTACTGTGAACGGACTCGATACTTCGGGCCAGAGGTACAGCCCCTACCCGTCTCAGGCCACCACCAAAACGGGCCTGCTGGCCATAGTCAAATCCCCAGCGAAAGGAATCATCAAGGACTTTGACGGGACGCGCGCGCGCCTGCTGCCGGAGGCGATGATGAACCCCCCCTCCACGCCCTACGTTGCACCAAGCACTTTATCCCACCCCCAGGCGCTCGCTCGCCAGCAGGCTCTCCAGCACGCACAGACTTTGCCGCACCCCCAGAGCATCCCGCAGCACCCTCAGGGTATTCCACAGCCACCCAGCTTACCGCACCCTCAGGGGATCCCGCAGGCGCTGCCGCACCCGCAGAACATGCAGCAGCCGCAGGGCTTGCAGCACCCTCAGAGCATGGCACACCAGACCCTGCAGCACGCCCCGAACGCGCTGCTGCAGCCGGGTTTACACGGAGGCAGAAAGATGCCGGATGCAGACGCGCCGCCGAATGTGACCGTGTCTACCTCAACCATTCCCCTCTCTATGGCTGCCACCCTGCAGCAGAACCAGCCACCGGACCTGAGCAGCATTGTGCACCAGATTAACCAGTTCTGCCAGGCCAGAGCTGGCATTAGCACTACCTCAGTGTGTGAGGGACAGATTGCAAACCCCAGCCCTATAAGTCGCAACCTGCTTATCAATGCAAGTACCAGGGTATCTACTCACAATGTCCCTACACCCATGCCTTCCTGTGTAGTAAACCCTGTCGACCATGCTGCTGCTGCTATTCCTCCTGCCTCTGTTAATGTGCCCATGGTCAATATTAACAGGGTGCCACCCGCCTACCAGAACGAAATCAAATCGGTTGCGTGGAACCAGCACCAGCTTGCGCATCTGCAGCAAATGTGTGGGGATGCTGCTGGGCCTGCTGGACTCGCAGGGAAGCACCCTCAGAGAGAGATTGCAGGGCAGAATTTCCCTGGCAAAACTTCCAACTACCCTCAAGAACTGTGCATGGGCCAGTCCTTCAGCTTGAAGCCCCCCATCGAGAAGCCTACGCCTTCTCCGCCTGTGAACGGGTTGCAGGGACCTTTGCCATATACCAATGGGCACTATTTCCAGCCCCTCTGGAACAACATTCTGCCCACGCCCAACAGTGACAGCTCTGGGTCCCAGGACCTCACCATGCCTTTCCATGGGGGACAGCCAGCAGGAGCGACGCTGGATTGTGCAGGAGGAACTCATTACAGAGCTGGAGCTGGCCCATCCAGCCAGAATAATGTGATGCAGACCATGGATTACCTAAGTGGGGACTTCCAGCAGTCCTGCTTCCGAGACCAGAGCATGGCCGTGCTGGGAAAAGTCCATCGGCCTCCCATGAACCGAGCACCTGAACCAACCGATAGTCGAAATCTTCATATTCAACACCCAGGGTATAGATAGGCTGCAGTCACTTTCACAGACAAAAAAAAAATACAGGTTTTAGTCTTAATTTTAATTAATAAGCAAGGCATTTTTAACTTGCAAACTTGTGTGATCATTATAGTACCCATTGGAAGAAGACATACTGTATATTTAAAGAGCTTTGCTTACATGTTATCTCTCTCCTTTATGCATCAAATATTTAACATGCCTTTTGTGTCAAAGAATTTCATTACACTACTTCACGCCACAGCTGTTTCCTCGCCGCAGAGTCTCCCTTTGTGCAGCTTTGTTTTTTTGCCTTCTCCTCGCTGGACTGAGGTTGAGTTGCTGCAGGGTTTTGCAGCCACATCTGTGCTCCAGCGAGGGCGAGGTTGTGTAGCTGCTTCCATTTCCATCTCAATTTCCTCACAAGATTAAGAGCAACAGAATTTTGTCAGGGAGTAGGGCTTGTTTTCAACTCAAAAGCCCATTTCATTAATGCATTAAACATTGACCATTTGCACTGTCTAGAGGCCTGTGTAATTGAAAAAGAGCCTACATTTGAAAAGAGCCTGCTAGGGGTATGTGTTTAGGCTTTAATAGAGGGAGAAGCTTTTCAGCTGTTTCTTGCCCATGTTTATCATTTAGACTTTGTCCAAAGTCAAAAGTCTCTGGCCAATTTTTCTGACTCTTTCTGTTTCTGGACAGGGTACGAGGAGGGGAATGGCAGGTTTGGGATGAAGGCAGCCACAGGGAGCTGCCTTTCTTCGTGTTCCCCCTCCCCACTGCCCTTCCAGCTGCCTCAAAGCTCACGTTGTCTGAATCCCTCGCTGCTAGGAGTCTGGCCAGCCTCGTGTGAAGGGAATCCAGACCCACTGACAACTCCAAAAAGGGTTCAGCCACTTCTCTGGAAGCTGGAATTTCTGTCAGGGTGAGGAGATGGAGCTCAGCCCGTCCCCGAGCGCGGTGCTGTTGGTCTGAATCAAAGCTCCTCTCACAAGCCACTGTGGGATTGACAGTCCCCTGTTCCTCTCCATCCAAACACCCCAGCGGATTTAATGGAACAATTCTTCTCCCTGGGAATGAGCAAAGCTGTTTGCAACATCCCTTTTTCCCAGGGTCTCGGTGCCTAACTCCTTCTGTTCCCTCCCCACGTCACTTCCAGCAGCCAGTTGAGTCAGTGACTGTAGGACACTAACTGGGTAACCTCAGCATCTTGTTCTCTGTGTACCAAAACATCCCTTTCCTTCCTAACAGCCGAATTTATTGTAAGTAGAAAATTCCTCATCTCTGTTAACGAGACTAATACTTGAACATAATGATCACAATCAAGTTTGGAAATTAAAAAAAAAAAAGAAGAAGAAGAAAATGTTTAAAAAAATAAATGCATTGATTCTTTCTATGTACACTGGCTAAAAAATATTGCTCTACACTGTAACTTTTAAGTGTAATATTTCTGTATGAATGTCGCCTGGTAGTGTGGGTTTGAGTAGCATTGTGTATGGGTGAACCCACTGGCCTCTGCCATCCACTGGCCTCCCTCACAGCCCTTGGAAAAACAAAGCCTTAAGTATTTGCTCCTTGAACTTTCCTTAATGAGCATGGTTTAAAAAAAAATCTTAAAGACATCATACAAAATTAAAAAAAAAAAACTAAAAAAAAAGTTTTGAAGTGACGTCATAGTTGGCTAGAGATTCTTAAAAGTTTTTCGTAAATGGGAAAATTAGAAAACATTTATTTGTATTTTTTTAATTTAGAATGTGTAGTCCTGGGCTGTAACAAATATTTAGGTTTCAAAGCTTAGCAGAGTACGTTTCTGACTCCTTGCGTAAGTTAGTACACTTATGTCATTATTTAAATTCTTTTAAGTGTACTATAACCCGTTCTTTAGTGGTAACTCCTGAGCAAAGTTAAGCAATTTGACTAAAGACGGATTAAATTATGTGTTGGCTTGTGTTGCCTTATATTTAAAAAAAAAGGAAAAATTGCCTGATTGTGTTATGCCAAATGATAGCAACATGAAGTCCTAATTTATTGTTTATAATCGTATTCCTGCAGTCTTTGTGAAAACTGGTAAATATACATCTATGAAAGAACGAAAATCCTGAGGCTTTTCATGCAATATTTTTCTGAATCCATTCTGTTGGAGCCAGAGTTCGAGTCTGAAGCTGCTTCCCCACTGTCACCCCGTCGTCCTCCCTGTCCCAAACCCAACCCCAGCGAGGGCTGTGCTCTGACCTCACCCCTCCCTGCCCAGTCAGTCACTGGAAGGTGTTCTGCTCCTTTTTACTAAATAAAACCTTGGCCTCTCCTCTGTTCCGTAGCCTGCTCCAAATCTTAACCCAGACTGTTATTAAAAGCTAATTTTTAACTCCTGCTCTTCTCCCGAGAGCCTGAGCAGGGTCCTGTGCCGTGCTGGTGGTTGCCTGGGAGGTGTTTGGTGGTGTTGGCAGCACGCTGGGTGTTTTTGGGGACTGTTCTGCACAGGTACAGCCACGGCCTCCGAGGCTTTGCCCCGGTACAGCAGGACCGGGAAGCAAAAATCCTGCTGAGACTCATCCAGGTGGGACATTGCTTGAAAAAAAAATACAAATCATTTTACTATTAAAATATACTGAAACCTTTCCTTTTGGTCTGGGAGTGAGATTTTTCTTCGAGCCAACCCTTTTCACCTCTGCAGCAGCCCTGTTGTGATGGGCTCTCCATCCTGCCCTAAAGAGAAGCGCTGTCCTGCCTCATTCCCAGGTGGGATGTTGGGAGCAGAGCTTGGATCCGTGGTGTGGGTGCCCAGGGTGGGGTCTGGCAGTGGCACTGTCACCAGGGTGAGGAAGGGAAGAGCCTTGTGGTGTGGTAGGAGCTGTGCCCTGCTCTCCTGGAAACGTGGGAAAACCTCCCGTGGATTTTTTCTCTCTGCCCAGTGCAGAATTAAGAGGAACCCAAAGGCCAGGGATGTTCCTTCCTCCTGGGCTCTCCCAGGAGTGCCTTGTGGGTGATCACCAACCTCTGGGGCTCACACTGCAGCTGCTTTTGCCTTTCTGTCCGTCTGTCCATCCATGGGTTAGTGCTTTCCCCACCTCTACTCCAGCACAAGGCTCTGCTCCCTGCTGGATCCTGAGGAATGAGTAAAGCTCAGGTGTCTCCTGAGCTCCTCACCCTCCCTCAGCAGCACCATCCTCCCCATCCCCACACCACTGCAGAACCTCAAGCTGGACCTCAGGAGGATGCTGGGAAGGATAAACACGAGCATGTTGTGAACCCTTCCATGTGTCCTGTGTTTGGAGCAGGAGCTTCGGAGCTGTTCAGCCACCACCAGCCCAGTTTGTTGCAGCCCAAAGTGAACGTTTTATAAAAGACACTTGTGAGTTTTCTTTAAGCTTTCCATGTCAGATGTCTCGGGGGGCCTCGGTTGCTCCCGTGGAAACCAAGCAGAGCTGTTTGCTGGGGGTCACTGGGGAGAGAACTGGGAATTGCTGCTGTATTTCATTAAGCCACAAGGCTGATGATTAAGGCTGCTGCCTCTGTGCTACGGGTACCAATTAGAATTTTCTTTATTATTATTATTATTTTGTCCACATGAAAAATAAAGAGACCTAGTCCCTCTGCCCCTTCTGTTCATTTTATTCAGTGTGAGGTGGCCATGGGGTCATAGGGTAGGTGCTTGTCCCAGAGGGAATTTGGGGAAGGGTATCCATGGGTTTCTGGGCTAGGAATGTATCAGGCAGAGTCTGGCTGACTGCTCCAATAAAAGGCAGGGTTTGGGAAAACAAAGAATCTCAGAGAGAAAGGTGCTGAAATAATGGTTAAAACTAGGAGGAGGCGGGGGTTTGAGTCCTGCCAAAATTTTAAAGGGAATTTGTAACGTTTGCATGGGACCTGCCAGGGTCTCCTCCCCTTTCCCAGGATTGTACATCTCATTTAATCTTTGCTTCCATCTCTCAGAAGGACAAAACTCCAACCCCGTCCCACTGCAAACCTGAGCATCAAAATCCCTTTTTCCTGCTGTTCCCACTGTTCCCCAAATACCGTGGACATTTGGTTCCCACATGGTTTTCCTGGAATTTGGGCTAAACCAGACAGCTTAGCCTGGCTGAGTGAGGCAGGAAGAGCTGTTTGCCCACAGGCACTGCTGCATCCCTCCCCAGCATCCGGAAATTCCAGCAGCAGCCACTCCTTCCATCAGAGCTTCAGGGTCCTCTTCTCCTTTGACTCAAAGCTTCTTTGCTATCTGATTTCTTCATCCACCCCCCCAGCATGAACATTTTCTTCTGCAAGGAGTTTTCAGGAGGCTTTCTCCTCCTCTTTGCAGCCTGTTGGACGTGGAGCAAGGATCTGGTGGAAAACGATCCAGCAGGGACTTGGTGTGAGCAGCTGCTGCCTCCACCGAGGAATCACCTGCAGCCACAGCTAAGCTGAGGGCTTTGAGGGAAATCCAACCTTTTAAAACTCCTCCTCTTGGGCCAAATGGGTTTTTCTTCCAAAGATTTTGACCCCCAGGTAGACAACACCCAGATGTTCTTTGTGAACTCCAGCAGCTCCGGCAGCTTGTGATGTTCAAGAGAGGAGCAACCTTGGGGATGCTGCAAAAATTCAGAGCTGAAAAAAATCCTGAAAAATATCCTTGTGGGGTCCTGGGGGATCCAGAGGGTGGAGGAACCAAGTGAAGTGGCACATTGTGCTCAGCTGCTGGAGGAGCACACATTGGACACCCTCCAGCAAGAGCCGCCTTTCGGATGCTCTTCAATGTTCAGCAGAGCCAAATTGCAATAAAATTATTGGAGTGTTTTATCTGCTTAGTTTAAGTTAATTTCAAAGCAATTGGGTACAGGCTGTTGATTCTGCTGGGGTGGCTGCAAGCCTGAGAGATGTACAGAGAATGAAGTGAGATTGCACCAAAAAACTGCTGTGAAATCAATTTTGCTGCCCTCAAACCCCTCAGTCCTGGGGGCAAATGGGGAGGGAAGGGGCTCAGATGGGTCTTTAATAAAGGATGTGCAAAGGAAATTTTTCTCACATTTTTCTCCCTATACACTATCAAAGTCTGGTTTCATTGTCTCCGAGAAGAAGCATCAAGAATCAGCACAAATCAGGGCTCTATGGTGTGAGCAGATGAAGTGGTTTTCCCAAAAATCCTCCCTGTCTACAATCCCAAAGAGGTTAAAAAGGTTTGGAGGTTATTTAGGGCATCTCCACTGTGGCGGGAGGTCTTACACAGGCAAAGGGCCCTCCAGGTGGGGTCTTCCTCGATTTTTTTGGGTATTTAATAAGATTTTCCTCTGTGATCTGAGCATCTTCTGAAGGTCCTTCAGAGCAGGGAGTGAGGCGGCAGCACAAACCTTTAGAACAAGCCCTCAAACCACCGAGTTTTCCAGGAAGTTTATTTTTAAACTTGATATTTGAGGCTAAATTTAGTAGCGAAAATCGATTTGTCTCCCTCTCCTCCTTGAGCATTTAGAGCATCTCCCCCTCCTGCTTTTCCTGCCGCCCGGGCCGTGCCGGAGGTTGAGAGGTGCTCCAAGATCCAGCTGACATTTCCAGACGTGCCCAGGTAAAAGTGCAGCAGCCACCAGCACATGGCACAGAGAGGCTGGAAAAGGGCTGGAAAATCAACCCCAGCGGGGAAAGCAGAGTTGGGGTTGGTCCCTGAGGTGGGGACAGGGACAAATAATCTCACAATGTTGTGTTTTTCATCCAGGAGCTGCAGCTCAGGTTTCCTCCAGCACTGCTTCCCACTTTTAGTTCACAATTTATATAAGGATTTTAATTTTTTTTTTTTTTTTTTTTTTTAAGGCAAGTGGTTGGAATGAAGTGTTGCCAACACGCTGTGTGTGGGCTGGTCAGAGGGACAGGGCTGTCTCTGTACTCTGTGTGTGTATGGGGGTGTGTGTATATATACACCCAAATGAAAATATAGAAATAAAATGTGCGTAATAAATGTAAAATAGAAAAAATATAAAATATAAGGACAAGAGTTATAAATGGCTGTTAAATAGAAATTAAATGTATGATAAATATGAAGGATGGAAGATGTGTAAATATACAGATAGAATTTCTATAATATAAAATACAAAAATATTATGTAATGCAATTCTATTGATATGTGCAATTTGATATAATAATAGAAATATATTAAATATTAAATTTAAAATATTTTTAATATATATATAAACTATAAAATAAAAAAATAAGCGTAAAATGTGTAAGGATAAAACGCATATTTAATACGAATTGCAACAATTTGTTAACGCAATAATTATAATGATGTAATAATAATGATAATTATTATTCATTGTAATAATAATGATAATTATTGTTCATTTATATAAATTATAAGGCTATAAATGTCTATTAACATCTTC